TGAAGCATGATAAATCAATCGGTTATAAATAAAATAATTCTTTAAAAAAAGGGAGGAGCAAAGGATCAATAAGGAGGCAATGTGCTCTTGAAGATCCTATGACATAGCACTTCATTAAACCTCATGAGAGGGGTAGGTACCTGAAATAATGAAGTGATGAGATCTCAATAAGTTATGTCGTATTGTGAACTGATACAAAGTGATATCTCATCGATGATATCTTTGATATAATACAATACAACATTGTAAAAGATTACGAGGATATGAATTTTGTGTCTATTAAAGCATGCTGATGTAGAAATAATTATCAAGTTAAAAGTGAAATGATGCATCTTGATATCAACTTATTTGACTTGTAGCCTAGACACTAGAAGATACCATACATTTAATATTGAATGTTGTCACAAAGTTGATATGAAAATTCCTGAAGGATTTAAAATCTAAAGCATATTCAAGTTTTTGAAAAACTTTTTTATAATCCCCATAAGGATTAAATAAGAATTTTTCATATTGTTATGCAAGTTGAAAACTTGAATTATACTCTTGACGAGTTTCCAAAAGGTAATAGATTATTTGCTTAAAGAAATTGAAGTGAGGAACTTGCATAATTCTTTGATCCTGAAGGATGATTCATAAAAGGAGACAGTTCGAAACACATTTAGCCAAAGTTTTTCTATACACATGAACTACAAAAGAATAGTGATATCAATGTGCAACAGATTCGTTCGAGTGACAATGTGGCTGATTTGTTCACTAAGTCTCTGCCAACTGCAACTTTCAAGAATATGGTGCACAAACTTGAAATGCGATGATTTAATTCTTTGGATATATGTTCTCATTAGTGGGAGTTAATACGCATTGTAGCGCTATACTATTTTTTCCTTATGAGGTTTTGTCCCACTGAATTTTCTTTGTAAGTTTTTTTATGAGGGAGCCTAGATGCATATTATTAGATATGTGTACCCTTTTTCTTCACTAAAGTATTTTTTTTAAAAAGTTTTTTGAGTAAGGTTTTTAATGAGGCACATTATGTCACGACCCAAAAATAGACGTGATGACACTCGTCTTAACCCACCAAGACAAGTCAGCCTAAAATTCAACCATTACAATAAAATGCGGAAATTTTTATAATATAAACTCAAAAATACCCCCAAAATCTGGTTGTCACGTGTACAAGCCTCTAAAGTATTACAATTGAATCAAAATACAAGTCTCATATGACATTGTTTCTGGAGTAGAACAAGATCATAAACAGGAGTAAGAAGGTCTGTTGAGTTGACAAACAGCTACCTCACAAATCTCCAAGAAGCCTCAGAAAAGAAGAGAATATATCACAAAGGTCCGAGCTAGTAACCTACAAAAAAATGTAGTAGCAAGGGGTGAGTACCAAACCACGCGGTACTCAGCAAGTAAACCTCTAAACACAAACTAAGGGGATAGAATACGGGTACTCCTTACACCCCAACTACAACATGCATAAAACTAGCCCAACCTAACAGTTCATAATTCACATAGCACACAGCTCAACAACAACACTCTAACAATTACATATCCTCAACAACAAGCTCAATATTCACCAATCAAAGTTCCACAAAAAGACACTCACAAGATCAGCAAAACACAATATCAAGTTCACTAATGATAAATATGTGCAATGCAATGGAATGCAATGTCAAGTATAGTGATGCATGTCTGACCTAGTGATACACACCCGCTGTCTCTCAGTCCGGGACTCATGGGGGACATAGTTGTCCATGCATCCATTGCGGCGCGTGATACGTCCCTCGATATATAGTATCCATTGCGGCGCGAGATAAGTCCCTCGAAATATAGTATCCATTGCGGCGCGCGATACGTCCCTCGAAATGGTACATCCTCTTTAATTTCTTTTTCTTTCTCAATTCACATAACTGTCACAACCATGTCTCAGACCAATGCAAATGACATGTTCACACAAATAATGAGGAGATAACCATTTTCATAACATTGCACAATTCACAACAACACAATCATGATACAACATCAACAAGTCTTTCAAACTATTCTCAACTCATCACACACAAACAATTAATCACATTGGTTTTTATTACCCCTTTTTCATCATTAGAATTAATCAATGTGGACAAGTCAACCCATCACAATGTCTCATTACCCCAAACACATATTACAAGGAAATACACGAATTTCATACACTTAACAAGGGTTTAGAAATTCACTTGCCTCAATTAATCAACAATCACTTCGGGACTTGAGTCTTCCCCTTTCGTTGAGCTTTCAAATCCATAAAATCTATTCAAATAAATAATCATAATAAGATTTCAAAACTAACAACACTCATACTACTATGTATCTAGTCTAGACACATAACTCACTCAAATTTATAATCAAATTCCTAAGTTCGATGCCAATTAACATGTCAACTCCCATATTTTCCAAGTTTCAAGCTTAGGATTAAGTTCCAACTTCTCCTATATCATAAATCGAGAACTAAATCATCCTATAAAAATACTTCCAAGATGAATACAACCCACCAAAATAGTAACGATTATGCAGAAATTATACCCACACGCCTTCTTTTTATCACTTTAGTTTTCCGATGATTAATTACAATAATTATCCCAAAATGGCAATTGACGGCGTATCAATGGAAATCTTGGCATACTGCCAAAGGGAACACCAGCAATAACTTCTCAAAAAAAAACCAATGACATATCTATAATGGTCAACTAATTATTGCATTATCACTCATAATCCTATAATTTTTTTCCTTTAACTACGAACAACACAGGGATGTCAATTCAATATTGACATTTTGATGATACTCTTTCTCCAACTAATAATAATAATAACAATATGGCTATCCCTTAATTATAAATGAAGTAATCGTATGCAACAATATCTAATTTAAAACTATTACCTCAATGAATCGTTCTTATGTGACGGCGCCAGGAGGTATTCCGCCGACCTAATTCTTTTTCCTTCGAAAATAATTTTGTGCTAAAAGTGACAGACCCTATTAATCATTAACTAAAATTAGTTATTTAATAATTAACCATCAATTAGTTCACTCTAGTTAAATAAATATTCAAAATTTCCAAAAATGACCTTTCGGGTCATTACACATTATCTACGAATTAGATATTCAAGGAGGAGCGTTATCAATATAGTGAATGTCTATCCTTTAGAGAAAATTTAGGAATCCTAACTTGGAGACCAAGTCAATTTTCATGTATAAATAGAGAGGTTCTCTTTATTGTAAAATCATCTCTTCAAAAGAAATAATAAATCTTTTCTCTTCTCCCTACTTTCTTCTCATTGTTTATATAGTTTCGTAACAATATTAAATTTATAAATTAGTATTTTTCTACTTCCTTTTTGTTTTGCCTATTTTTAAATTGTATTTAAAAATGGGAATGCAAAAAAAGAAAAGAAGAAAAGACAAATCAAAATGGGATACTCCCATATATTATGTAGGAGTAACTAATTTCAAACTTCCAACAGATAACAAAAAAATAAGGTCATCCAGTACGTCATGTTATTCATGTTTGCACGTCAACGCATATAATCCCACTAAAATCCCATAAAATATCTTCTATAAGTTTTTATTTATTACTCACTTAAATATTTGCTTGGTTTGGATCCGAGTTTTGGGCAGGGGCGGAGCTGTAGCATCCCAAAGTGTCTAACTGGACATTCTTTATCAGAAAATTATGTTGTATATATATGTCAAAGTTTATATTTAAATGATATATATTTAAAGTTGGACACATTTTGATAAAAGTTGTGCCTTTGATGCAATAATAATGGTTGTCTATTTGAATTAAGAAGTTTTGGGTTCAGACCCCAAACAACATAATATTTTTTTTTTTTTTTTAACAGCCACAGACCATTATTTTTACACCCTTGATAAACTTTTTGGGCTCCGTCACTAAATTTGGGCACACGGTTGTCATGTGACCTAATTTTATAAATTTTATAAATCCTTCATCAAAATAAAGGAATGTAAAGTGGTGGTGCACTTAACCTTTTAGAGTGATGTTGAGGTGTGTCATTCAAATATAATAAATTTCAAGGCAATGAAATTTATAAATACATATGATTTTAATTCCTTAAAGAGAATGAGATTTGTGATAAACATATTGACTATTCAGACATTCTTAAAAATTAATGTGTTGATATGTGAAAAAAGTTATAGATAAGAACGTGCTCATATATGATTGGATAAATATTATACATAACTCATTTCTATGAGGTATGAAAAAAATAAAATAAAAATTATTTTTATATAAATGGTCATTAATCAAATATTTTTAGAATATCACAAATATTATGATATACATTATGAACTATCGAAAGACAAATAAATTAACTCTTTAATATAAAAATTGTGTCCATGACCAAAATGAACATGAGCTGGTGATCACACCTTTGTTTAATATATATAGGTCGATTACTACATATTAAATTTATAAATTAGCTTTTCTACTTCTCACATAGACCATTGTTTAATACATAGCTCAATTATTCTTCTTCGTCCCTTTCTATTAGGTCATCAATCACTATTTGGCGTTGCTCCACTTACTTCTTTTTTCTTTTTTTTTGCCTATTTTTATGTTGTATTTAAAAAATGAGAAAAAAAAGTAAGAAAAAAAGACCATGCCAAATGGGATAGTGGATACTCCCATATTATGAAAGAGTAACTAATTTCAAATGAATTCCATAACAAAAAATTAAGGTCACCCACTACGCCATGTTATTAATGTTTGCGAGCACGTCAACTTGAAGATCCTCCCATAGGATTTTTTTCTAACAAGTTTTAACTTTTAACTCACTTAGATATTTGTCCCGCTAGAATTTGGATCTTAAATATACAAATGTAAATTTAAATGAATTGAATTTTATTAACGATATCAAACGTCACAAAGAAAAATACTAAAAATATCTGCCCGGGTCGCGTCCATACTTTTCAAATGGGCCCATCAACCTCAATAAATTATCCTCTATTCCTACAATCCTTCCCACATTACAATAATTACAATGTCAAGTCTCTCACTCCTATTGGTTCTTGTCGCCGGCCTTTTCGCTGCTGCACTTGCCGGACCGGCGACCTTCGCCGATGAGAATCCGATCAGGCAAGTAGTAGTTTCCGAAGAGCTGGAGAACGGAATTCTTCAAGTCGTCGGCCAGACTCGCAATGCTCTCTCCTTCGCTCGCTTTGCTATCAGGTTACTAAATTCGAAAATGAGATCGATTTCTCTATCGTTTTGCTTTTATAATTAAACTAATATTGTTCTATTTTTGAATGTTTATAAAAGGCATCGGAAAAGGTACGAGTCCGTTGAGGAGATCAAGCAAAGGTTCGAGATATTTTTGGACAATCTGAAGATGATCCGATCGCATAACAGCAAAGGACTATCATACAAACTCGGTGTCAATGGTATACTTTCTTATCTTCAACTAGGAAAACAAGTTCACACTTACTAATTAGTTATTTAGATTATAAAAACTCAGTATGAACTACTTATTCATGATGTATAAAAAAAACACTTTGTAGAAGTTAAGTTCTTTCTTTATTTTACTTAGTAACTAATCAAGCTAAATGAACAATTCTTAATTGAATTCTTATATTCATCATATATGCTTGGATAAGTGTTTGCAACTTATGATCAATCTAATTGTTTATCGATTACTTTTATGTTTCATGGCAGAGTTTACCGACCTAACATGGGATGAGTTCCGTAGACACAAGTTGGGGGCATCTCAAAACTGTTCTGCCACTACAAAGGGCAATCTCAAGCTAACTAACGTCGTTCTGCCAGAGACGGTATATCCAATCTGAATGAACTCCGATCCTTTATGGTTATATATTTCTGGAGTTACTCATTAGAGTTAATTAAACTAGTTTGTATCTAATGCTTTATTATTTCCAAGATGGTAGAGTGCACTGAGTTGAATTTTGCTATAATAAAGATAGAAACACTAAACATCCATCCACCGTGTGCTGCGTTAATTAGTGTGTTCAATTGGTTGCAGAAAGATTATTTTTTTGATCCTAACGAACACCAAATTTCCAATTTTGTGATTATAGAAGGACTGGAGGGAAGTCGGTATTGTTAGCCCAGTGAAGGCACAGGGCAAGTGCGGATCTTGCTGGACATTCAGGTGAGAATTAGTTAGAATCATGTTGGACTCCTAAAATTGAAATCTAATGGAGCAGGCATATATATGTGGGGTTTTGGCAGCACTACTGGTGCACTAGAGGCAGCATATGCCCAAGCATTTGGGAAGGGAATCTCTCTGTCAGAGCAGCAGCTTGTGGACTGTGCTGGAGCTTTTAATAACTTTGGCTGCAATGGGGGGTTGCCATCACAAGCCTTTGAGTACATTAAATTCAATGGTGGTCTTGACACTGAAGAAGCATATCCATACACCGGCAAGAATGGCATATGTAAATTCTCACAAGCAAATATTGGTGTCAAAGTCATCAGTTCTGTCAATATTACCCTGGTAATTAAGATCTCTTTAGTTTCCTTGGGATGGAACCAACTTTTTGCCAGTGTTATTCAGCCCATTTGTTTAACTTATTGAGCTGCTGCTTTTACCAATTACACATATGGACTCCTGATTAACATGTGTTATTACAGGGTGCTGAAGATGAACTGAAATACGCAGTTGCATTGGTTAGGCCTGTTAGTGTTGCTTTTGAGGTGGTAAAAGGTTTCAAACAGTATAAGAGCGGAGTTTACACCAGCACTGAATGTGGCGACACTCCCATGGTAAGTCATCTGTCCCGAGTAACCTGAGAAGATGCAATTATCTATTATCACCTAAATAGGCCTATATGGACAATATTACAAACACTGACTGTTTCATTGGCAGGACGTAAACCATGCTGTTCTTGCTGTGGGTTACGGTGTTGAAAATGGCGTTCCCTACTGGCTCATAAAGAACTCATGGGGAGCAGATTGGGGTGAGGATGGATACTTCAAAATGGAGATGGGAAAGAACATGTGTGGTGTTGCGACTTGCGCATCCTACCCAATCGTTGCCTAAGCTTTGGAGTTTTGTGAAAAAATTATGCATAAATCCGTGTTGTCCCAGTTAATGATGCAGCAGCAGCATTCAGGCTCCATTCTCAGATTTATATTCAGAACATGTATGGATCGTTATACATACAAAAATGGTTTAGGCTACTTATATGAAAGAAACAATAAGATCAAAATATTTAGTTCACAGAGATTATTATGCAGGAAAAGTCCCCATGTAATTTATACATTATAAGTAATGAAAGGGAGGAAGAAATTCTTATTGTAAGCATTATTAATCCACTGTTGTCCTTAGTTTATGTCTTTTTGTCAAAATTGTTAATGGATTTAATGTCCTGTTCTTAGTTATCCTTTTTTGGTTTCGCAGACAAGGCACAGCTAGAATTTATATAGATTCTACCCCTCATTAGTGGGAATAATACCAACAACAAACAACAATGTACCTAGTGAAATCTCACAAGTGAAATCTGAAAAAGATAGAATGTACCTTATCATTACCTCATGAAGGTAGAGAGGTTGTTTCCAAAAGATCCTCGGCTCAAATGTAGCTATTCCAAATACAAAGAAGTAAATATAGCACATCACAAGAAAACAATGTAAAGTCTACTGGAAGGGAGCAACAACAACAATAAAATAGTGCAATAATCGAAACACAATAAACAATCTACTAGGATAGATTATCGAAAACAACAATAAATACTTATGGTCTATGGATATCAAAACAAGAACTATAGTAATACAACTAATACATAAACAAACACCAACTATTCTAAGCATTAAGCAAGACACCATTACACTACTTAATAACTTTCTATCCTAGTATGTGTCCTCTACACTTTTCTATCTACGGCCATATCCTCGCTAGTCTGAAGTTGCGTCATATCTTGTCTTATCACCTCTCTCCAATACTTTTCTAGTCTACCCCTGTCTTTCCACGTACCCCCTATAGCCAACCTCTCGCACCTCGTCACTGGTGCATCCACACATAATCTCTTCATATGTCCAAACTATCTCAGTCTCACTTCTCTCATCTTGTCACCACATATGTCACTCCGGCCACCTTATTTCGAATAATACCGACCAATCATTCTCACATTATTCATTTGATTCACCAAAAAAATTGTGTTAAATTAGCTCGAATCATCTCCTACATTTGAAAGACAAATTTCCCTTGTGTTCTACAAACTACATAGCACCATTATAATTTATAAGACACCTAGTACAAACCATCGAAATATTATTATCGTAACTTAAAAGTAAATTTGTTGATTATTAGAACCTCTTTTACCTAAATGACATTTTCCGTTAGTTTAACATCTGTTTTATGACTTGCAGAGACGGACGGATACATGGGTCCCTCAAGATCGGAATGCGTTTCGAAGAAAATAAAAAAAATAGAAGTTGGAAATTCAAGTGTTGCGCAAAAATAGAAGTTGTTTCACGAATTTGTTTAACATCGTAAAGTCCTATTTTGAATAAATTAAACTTGTTTAACGCATTAAGTTGCGGTAAAACTTCTGGTAGATTAAATTTTCTTTCAAATCTATATAAGTTAAGATTTTCTAGACTCCGATATTGAAAGATGTTTTTATAAATAATGTTAATTAGAGTTTGGGTTAAGAAGGGTGTCACAATGGTGAGTTCACGAACACCTATGGAGTTATCATGTGATAACTTATATGGATGGGTATTTAGCCGATTTAGTTAAATATGTAATTATTTTATCAGTTGCATGTTACGACTAAGGTTGGATAGTGATTATCCTGATTAAATTGGCCTGTTATTGATATATCAATATCCCGCACACTAGAAATTATTAAAATTGGCTAACTATAATTTGTGTACATTCTATGTGTATTTTCACATAATTAATATTCATACTCAAGCATGCCCGTTGAAAATTATTTATAATGGATTGATGGCATTTTGACATGATGGATCAATTGATATGATTGATTTACATTCATGATTTTCTGCGGACATTCAAACTTATGCTTGTGGATGAAAAAATATTTCGGGCACAGAGTTGAATGCTTAATGAAAAATTGTTCTTGATGGGTATGTTTGGCTCTTGAACACCCGTGTATGTTAATTGCATACACAAACATTGTATTGTATTGCATTCATTTTTATTTAATTAGTCATTCATTATTATCTGACTATCAATCTTTGAATATATAATTCATGAAAAGTAAACTAAGCTATGTTGTATTTATTTTGATAGTAATTCATATTTCGTACCAGTCATTACAGGGCCAAGCAACGAACGGAACAAAGTGCTAGCCCCCTCATCCCTATTCATTTTGGTACTAGTGGCAGTAAAAGTTCGAGTAATCAAAACATGAGCAGTCTGAACCATGGAAGTGACTTCAGTACCTATCAACCCACCCAGAAAAGGGAGTATCTACTGGACAGTCTCTGCATCCACAGAGGGAAGACCTTCTACCCTAGTATGTGTCCTTACCTAAGGCTCAACCTCATCCTCAATCTCGATCTCAACCTTTTCCTCAATAACTGAATCATGGGGTGGGGTAGGATTGCTTCCCTTGGTACTTCCACATTCTGAGCTCCACCCCTAGCGGGTGTTGCCCTTCTTCTGCCCCCGTCCCTGCCCATACCTCTCCCTCTGCCATGCCCTCTAGCTGCGGGCTCTACTGATGGAGCTATCACTTTAGCGCTAGTGCGTCTAGTGTTAACCATCTACGGACAACAGAATGAAAGATATTAGATACCAATTTGGATCACCATGTACCAATCGAAATCAAGTCATAGCACTAAGGAACAAAGGAAGAGAATTTCCTAAAGTCTTTTAGCCCTTGCAAAAAAGTACAGACGTCTTCGTATCGATCTGTAGGACTCTACTAGACTCGTTTTAGTATGATGAGATCAATGAACCTAGGACTCTGATATCAAGTTTGTCATGACCCAGACCATCGTGAGCGACACCCACACTAAGCAAACCGGCGAGAAAACCAACTAACCCTAAAGCAACCCCAAAACCATTTAAACAACCAAGTCTAATTTATATAAAACAGGGAAAAACAGTCTAGACATAAAAGCAGTAGCAAATCTAAAATTTTAAGGTTGTGAGTGCTCTCTTAGCTACAAGTTGGGTGATAAAATTTTCACTATGAAACTTCAAAATATAAAAGGTAAAAGATGAAGAAGTCAAAGGGTGCTCAACAATTAAAAAAAAGTGTTCAACCCCACTTAGTTACCGATCAAAAAATGTAAGTGCATAAATTTAACACTTCATCATAAAAAAAAAGACAATCATATTTGAACATGATAGCAAAAACGTAACAATCCATAAGAAAAACTACAATAAATATTATTTTGAATAAAGGAAAAAAGAAACGTTTATTTTGTAAAAACTCTATTTTAGAAGAAATAGCAAAACACAACGAGTGAAAGGGGAAAAAAAAATCAACCTAGGGAGTAAGGGAGAAAAAAATAAAATAAAAATCTAAGGATGATAGATAAGGAGAAAAGGGTTAGTTTTTTAAATTTTAAAAATGTGCGGACTAGGAATCGAACTCAAGTGCATAAATAATAAATAAGAAGGAGAGCAGAGTTGAATGGGAATCGAACCCGAATGCAAAAGCCAAGTATGGCCTTAAGCATCCTCAAACAACCACTACGCCAATAAGGCTATTTATCATGTGGGTGCTCGTTGTTTAATTATATATTATTCCTCTTAATTTCTATATAAGTATAGATAGTTCTATACAAGGTTAATGGGTGCTCGAGCATCCGGAAGTGTCTATATGGGTCCGCCCCTGCATAAAAGAATTGAGTTCACATAAACTTAATACAAACGACTAACCAACAAGTGTGGTAAATACCCCCCAAAGAACTGAAGATCACCATACCAAAACTCTAAAATAAATCTAAATGGGTATGCAACTGGGGGGAAAACAAAACATACTAAACCAAAAGTTTGTGTCTGACCAAATGGACAAGAAAATATTGAGCTCTGGAAGTCTGAAAGACGAGGCTCACCCTTGGATTCAAATCAGATATCTCTCAATACTTAGGTCTCAAATCAACCGCTAGAAGATTCACTGCACTCTACAAGAAAAGAAACAAGTACAATATCAATACACAAACCACCGTGTACTGGTAGGATCATGCGGTCAGTCCAGCATATGCATATAAATAGTTCATCACTAAATAACAATCACAAGGCAACATATAATATAACAACAAATATCAATCACGTGATATAAAAATCACAAAACATGAACTAACCTATGCATAACATGTCTCACATGATCAAAATGCAAATACCAATCATGCATAATCACATTACATCACATCATGCATCAACACATAACATAATGAGCAAGATACTTGAACCCCCACAAGTTACAATCACAAGTTTATTTCACATGCTTCCTATCACACATCGCACAATATGACACTACAAGCAATAAACATGCAACTATACATATCCCAGAAGCATATAACCATCACCTACCTCAAATCAAGTCCCTTGAAAGTTTTAAATAGCCCAAGCTTTCCCCTTGTGAAGTGCTTTGGCTTGTTCTTGATCTTAAATAAACAATACTAACAATAATCAATCACAAATGACCTAATAATTCACCCAGATAACTAACAAATCCCAACCCCGGCCAAAATGTGATCATCTTCCCCAACTTAGGTCTCCTTACCAACATGAATTCATGCTCAAAACTCTTCCCCAACGTTAACCACCTAGTTTCCAAACCTTAAGAAACAAATTACAAGATTAGGGGGTCAAACTCTTACCTTTACCAGTGAATTTCATGGGAAAACTGATATAGGCTGCCCAAAATCGCTCTTCTCTGTTTCAAGAACTTAATTTGCATAAAATAGGAGTTTTGGGTAGTTTTCTACATAAAATCAAGATTCTCTCGCCATATCGACTCCAACCTTGCTATAGTGGTCTGAATGGTGCTATAGCGATAATCCGTCCACTATAGCAAGGTCGAAGGATTTTCTACGGCTCAGCATTCGAAAATATGCTATTTTTACAACACAAACTCTTTCTTTGACGTCCTGACTCATACCTTTCATATCAAGGGAGTTCTACTTATCCGAATTTAATTCTGAATGGTCTTATGGATTCCTTAATGTCATGGCTACAAGTATACATCTTTCAAATCTCAAAACAAGATCTCACCTTTCCCCGGATAACCCTAGAGCTCATCTAACCCAGATTCAATCAAAGGCTGGCCTAGCCAAAAAAAATTCAAGTTACTATCTAGCACAAATTTTTTCCCTATGGACCTATTTATAACGACCGGGTCAGTTCATT